TCGGCTCGTTGTTACAGTGTAGTTCTGACAGATCTTCTTGCAAACTGAGCATTTCTGAGAGAGTTTTGTTAAAGCTGGGGGCAATGATCCGTTTTCCTGTAGCTGCTCTCATTTTCCAGGGCAGCTCCTTTGCCCAGTATCCTGCTGGGCCCTCTGCTAAGCGCCCACAGTTGTGTCTTTATCTTCTGAGCCTCTGCCTTAAACTGGTTATAGCTGTTTATATGGTGTGCCACAATTTTCCCAGTCTGTCGAGAGATGCGGGATATTTATGGTGTTTTTGTTAGCACAGTGTTTGTGAACCTTCAGTGTACAGTAGAAGCTTTGACATACTGCTTCCTTGAGTAAGGCAGCTGCTATGCCATTGAGTTTTCCTATGGGTATAGGGGTGTTGTGGCTTAACCCCAGCCAGCAGCTCAGCCCCGCGCAGCCGTTCACTCACTCCTCCCCCAGTGGGGTGGAGGAGAGAATCGGAAGGGTAAAAGTGAGAAAATTCGTGGGTTGATATAAAGACAGTTTAATAGGTAAAGCAGAAGTCACGCACCCAAACAAAGCAAGGAATTAATTCATTACTTCATTTAGTCTATGACTTTGGGCTCCATCTGTTATGATGGTCACTTAGGACAGGAAGGTGATTTGTTGCGTGGAGTTACTGGGCACCAAAGCCAGCTTAGCTCAGGTGACTGCTACTCGTAAGGCTTGTCCTCCATTGATTCAGGTGGTTCCTGCTATAGTAATTCGCATAACACAAAACTCAAATCATAGATTACAACAATTTAAAGGTATTTTCATTCCAATCTCCACCCCGATCCCTTTGGGCAAGGTTATAGGGTTTAACATTGCTTTACCTGTGTAGTACAAACAAATCTTTGTCATGAAGAATTGTTGAGGAGTTTGTGTAATGTCACTTGTCCAGTGTGTGTGGGGGCTGTCTCTGACTGTACCCATAGACCATAGTTAATTCCTTTGAGGCTACAAATTAACAGCAGTTAGTTAATATCTTCTCCTATAGCACTTACTGCACCACAGGAGACACAATTTTTGTGGCGTATAGAAAAAAGTGGTATTTCCTCATCACTGAGTATGTGTAGATATTTGAAAACATAATGCCTACTAATGTTGAAGAACTTCAGTTTTTGTATGAAGCCTGTAGTGTCAGGAGTTCGTAACGAAGAAGGACACAAAGTTCTCATAATATTTCATGTCCCAGTTACTGAGCTTTCCTCTGTTGACTGAATGTAAGGATTTGCAGTAATTAGTAAAGGGAAGAGCAGTGGGGGTTTTCCTCAGCTAAATTTCTGTTGGTGTAGAAATGGTTTCTACTGAAACAGCAAGTTAGTTGTTTTTATGTTGATACTTTGGAGTGAATTACAATTTGTAAATGTTTTCAATGTCTTCAGGCTGTGGTGCAAGGCCATTTTTGCTGGTTACAAACGTGGTCTCCGAAACCAGCGGGAGCACACTGCCCTTCTGAAAATTGAAGGTGTTTATGCCCGTCAGGAGACAGATTTCTACTTGGGCAAGAGGTGTGCCTATGTATACAAAGCGAAAAAGTAAGTCACTTTTTATTGTTATCCTAAATTAGCCAACTCGTATGTCAGCTTTTACAAATGGCAGGATGTGAGCAGTCTGTTACTGAGCTTTTGTTAGAATAGAAATAAATTTGGCTCAATTTATCAATAGAATGTCCATGGGATACTGTGTAGACCAGTTTCCTGGGTTGGTTTCATTTTTAAAGTCCTTCGTTATTTTTGCTTTAATTGGCCTATGTGTTCTTAATTCAGGTCATGAAATAATGTGAAATAATTATTCGCTGTTATAAATGATATGTTAAAGAGCAAATGGTGTGAGGAGTTTTGCCTGAGACTGACAAAAGTTGTACGCAGCTTTGTAGAGTAAACTGAAGTGAGGTGAATTTGTGTCGAGTACTATGAGCTATTGAGTTACTTTAACAGCGGAATTATTTTGTGAAGCCTGGAGGAATTTGTCTCCTGGCTTTTGCGTGGCCAGTTGGAGCACTGTTCTGCTGTGCTGGCATTGCTGGAGGCCTTAAAAACAGTTACTTACTACCTTCCGCTTTTTCTTTATGTGTAGTTGTTAGAGTTCTGATAAGGGAGTTCAGAATTGCCTTGAGTAAAATTGATCAGACTGTTAACTTGACCACCATCATTTCCAGGATGGCACATGGCTTTTCTTCTAAAGAAGTTTTTTGCAGTCTTATACTAGTGGTTGAAATTGATGAGGTTTTTTTTAAGTTTTGTGACTTGTTAATAGTTCTCCAGTGGAGCTTCTGAAAAATTCCAAGCTACAATACTTACCTTATTTGGAAGGTACAGTGAAAATCCCAGCTCTTAGCAAATTTCACAGGTAAAAAACGTGGAATATGGTCCAACTAAAGATGGCTGTGGAATAAAGTTATGGAAGCGCCTTAGAGACTGTTGTCTGCCCCATCACTGCTCAGCCCCGAACGGAGCTGTGACCAGCATGCTCAGCAGTTCTTTCTCTCTATTTCCTCAGCAACACTGTAACCCCCGGTGGCAAGCCCAACAGGACACGAGTGATCTGGGGGAAGGTAACCCGCGCCCATGGGAACAGCGGCATGGTTCGTGCCAAGTTCCGCTCCAACCTTCCTGCCAAGGCCATTGGACACAGAATCCGGGTGGTGAGTGGATTTATTTTAGCAACAAGATATTATTGGCAATTTTTGGGGTGTATTTTAATCCCACATAGTACGAGGGAAAACAAACTATGGTTGATAAGTGCTTCTTTTGGAGCTAGGAGAGGTTTATTGCTGGCTGCTTGTGCTGCGGGGCTTGGTCTCATTGTCGAGGGTTTGTACGTTTGCTCAGGTTGTCTGGAAAGGCTCTTTGAGTCCCAGGACTCTTCCTCAGCTCCCTTCTAAAGCTGGCTTGATTTCTTTTCCCCAGATCTTGTACATGTATTTTTGTACCCTTCTACTCCAGTTCCTACCTGTTGAGAGATTGGTTTTTTTTTCTCCTACTTCCGTAGTGTTTTAACTGAGGGCTGTGTTGTCCTGACCTGTCCCCTAGAACCTGAGTTAGCCACAAGCCTTCAATGAGACTGTCCTTTTAGGTTCATCACCCAGAGCTTTGATGTGATATCTTGCTAGTGATGTTGCTACACTTTTTCACTCTTGCATCTCTTCTGTGTAAATGGAGGGGGGGGTTTGCTTTTATAGTAGTTGAAGAGATTGATGATCTAGCTTGTAACTGCAAACCTCGTGTTTTCAATAGTACAGTCCAGTAACAGGATTTCTAACATGATTCTATTCTTGTCTTTTACAGATGCTGTATCCATCTAGGATCTAAATTTTTATTTGAAATAAAATGGAGAATCTGTTTAATTTTTGTACATTTCTATTTTTATCCCTTCCACCTATTTTGAGGGACTTCATTCTTTTCCAGTAGCGTACCAGAGTTCACAGCACAGGGATGGAGCAGTGACTCTAAGCTAGATGATGAAATGGAGATTTGACCCCTGCTTGGCAAGGCGTTAGTAGAGCAAACTACATTCTAGAGACAGATAACTGGCAGCCTTCACTGCGACCTGTCTGTGCCTCCCATCACGGAATCTGAATGGTTTGAGGAGCTAAACAATGTTTACAACCTCATAAACTGTGCACACAAGCTTTATATAGAGCATGAGAAATACTTCTTTGCCTACCTGCTAGAGGGAAACTTCTTATTCCTGTTTGTCTTGTACTCAGCGATGACTGCTGTTGAGACAAAACTGTATAATGGGACACTAAATCCTCGCAGGTGCTAGCTCACATCTAAAAATAGTGGTTCTACTAGAACCACGAAGAATAAGACTGTAGTACCTGGGCAGCGTGTGTGCCTGTAGCCTCTGCTCTATGTAACTAACTTAGACGTGTTTTCATCACACACAACTGTGGTGCTTGAGCGTTAATACTTACTGGTTTCTTGGCCAGCCTTGTCACAGTGTGTAATGTGGGTTGGTGGGGATCTTCTTTATATCAGTAGTGTATCACTTGGGTGAGTTCTTTAAGGTTTATTGAACAAGAAGGTGGTGGAAAATGAATGTAAAGATTCTTAAAAGTGCAAGTCTCAGAGTTTCTTAGTACATCACTTGAAAATTCTGAGTAATTTTAAGGGAGGTTTCAGGCAGGTGCAGGTTGGCATGGTTACTGCTGATGTCACAGTCCCAAAATGACCTGTCAATACCCTGAGTGGGTGATGCTGCTGATTCCGTGTAGTTGTTCAGTCATTTGGGAAGTGTCCCCAGTGAGTGAGACAGGTGAGTGGTGATCCTGACCTTCCCTTGCTCCCCTCTCCCTGCCCAGCCCTGCTATGAGCATGTGGTAGGGACCTCTCTGAACTGGGGGCTTTGCTCCTGCCCTGCGGTGGGCTGGTATTTCATCACTAATCCTCTTCCTTCTGAAAGAGGTGGAGCAGTCGTGTATTCAGAGTACATTACTGGGTAAATTAAGACCCTTTGGTAATTCAAACAAAAATTGGACTTGTCTACTCACCTCTGGTATATGAGTTACTTGTCTGGACTGAACTAAACCTGCTGCTGCTGTCTCCAACAGCAGGAGAGCACTGGCAGTGGAAAGCTGCTGGTTTTTAACGTGTGGAGAGAAGCTGCAGCTTATGGGACACTGGGTCGGGTCAAGCAGGGCTTTAGTCTTCTGCAAATATGGGCAGGTTGTACACAGGATTGAAAGAAGGATGAGGTGGAATACAAATAAAATTTCCAGTTTTAGGCATTACCAGAGGAAGGGGGAAATGTAGTGGGCAAATTGGATTTTAACAGCAGGTTGGTAGGATTGTGGTACCTGTCCCATCGTTGGATTCTGCTGCTGAGTTAATAAGCACTCTTGAGTTTGAGGCATGATGCCCAAAAATACGTGATGATCCTTCTCTCATCTTTTTCTACTGTACCAGACTGCTGAGGTACAAAGCCTGTTCCTGGGAAGCCTAACATCGAATAGCATATGGCTACAATTTTTGAATTTTTGTGTCAAAACTCTGCTATTCCCTTTCACATTCATTTGGTCCCACCAAAACCAGTGTGTTTGCTTTGTACGTGATGGCATAGCCTGTTAGAAGGCCTGTGCCATGCAAGTGCCTTTGCTACTGCAAACCCCTTCCATTCCTTTCCCCATCAATGCAGTAAAACGACTCGTGCGGGAGGAAGCTATGGCATCAGAGGAGCCTGCTGTCTGCTCCTTTGTGGACCAAACCACCTGGGAGCTCCTCAACCTCCTGCACATGGTGCAGAGGCAGAATGGACAGGTGCTGGTGATGGAGGTGGATGATGACAATGTGAGAACTCCCTCGGTGCTGGTGGATTTTGCCCAGGACCTGTGTGGCACAGCTGACATCAGGGCTAAACTACAGCAGGCAGAGAGGATGGAAGAGGAGGAGGAGGAAGAGGTTCAGCCACATCTGGTTTTTATGCTGTGGAAAGCCACTGTGTTGAAGCAGCTCATGCAGTGGGATCACCTGGATGAGGCTCTCTGGAATGTGAGGAACCTCCTCCCCTGCCTGCCGTATGTGCTGGTGCTTGTGATGATCCACCCAGACCCCCAGGAGCAGCTGGATGAGGCAGTGGGAGCGCTCAGGAGAATGCAGTGTCTGCTGGATGGGGCCTGGCAACTCGTGGTGGAGGCAGCAGTCTACAGCCCTGGTCAGCCTGGTGGTATCCTGGATGCAAAGAGAGCTGCGTGTAGAGCACTGAGAGAAGTCTTGAACTGCCATGAAGGTATCCTGGGACATAGCAAAATGTAGGGGCAAGGGAGAAAGAGATAGGGTTTTTGGAAAGAGAAACGTGCTCAGAGTGGGTCATGGAAGGGTCAGAGATGGTACAGACCAAAGACCTGGCTTGGTGGCCGGGTTCAGATACAGGAGGGAAAATAAGCTGGACTTTGCAGGCAATGTGAGCTGGAAATGAGAATGAGGGCTTAAGTGCTGGGATGGGGGTGGACAATGCAGTCTGAGCCAACTGTGTGCCCTCTTCCAAGTCAGACGATGGTGGCTTCTTGCCCCAGAACACATGTTGCTATGGAGATGCTACACAGTGTAAGAGCTGCAGTCCTGACTTCACCACTGGGGCGTTTCATGATTATATTAGCAGCTCACCATCTCACTGACCCTGCATTCTTCATTGGAGGGGTGTGCCAACTCTTTTGGGTGGGCCATCAGCCAAAGCTTTGACCAGGGTGATACCTGCTGTTCTTCTCTCGTGTCTGTTTCCTCCTCTAGAAGTCGACTCTCAGGGTCCATTTATTGTTTCGCTCCCAGAGTTCAGCTACCGCTGTGCTCTGCCTGAACATATGCGGCACAAGGTATCGAAGACAGCTGGAGAATGAATTCCCTTGGGCAGCAGCATCTGGCAGGTTGGTTTTAGCGCTGTTCACTTTGATGTCCCTTTGTGGAAATGCTATCCTCCTGGTGCTTTGCTTGTCTGCCCAGTCCTTCTGCACCAACATGATTCAGTATGTGGCTGCTGCCAGAAGGGGACGCTGCTCCTTCAGCATCACACTGTCCTTGCTACAAAGCTCAGATTTCTTCGCTACGTTGCCTGAACAATCTATCCCAGGAAACTTCTGTCAAAAATCACTGCGTTTCTGCTTTGCATGAAATGCCTTGCTTGAATATCAAAATGTCCCTGAGAAACCTGCTGGGCTGTCCCCAAGAAACCAGCTGTCAACAGAGAGGGAGTGAGAGCAGGCCAGCTGTGCCTGGATTTTAGACTGTCCCAAAACTGACAAAGTGAAAGAAACCCAGAGGTAAGACCTAAGACCGCTTTTTCCCAGGAGAGCCTGAACGCAGGAGTCTTTGGTAGTTCTCATCAGCACAAAGTTCCTGAAATTCCCCAGGGTTCTTTGTAGTCACAGGATGGTGGGAAAGCAAAGTTTGCTGCCCCCTCTTGCTTATCAGACAAGATGCTGCAAACAAGATGAAGGTCTGTCTCCCGTTGCACTGCTATTTGCCATTAGTGCGTTGGCCTTTCCCAAGACACTGTCCTCACACCAGAATAGTTGAAGGGTCCAGAATGAGCTGTCTAAATGTCTTACGCTGATCCATGGGATCCTTCCCACCTACCCTGATGGAAGGAGCTGTGGATGGTTTATGTGCATGGTATGCTCTGCAACTCTCTGTCTCACAGGCAGCCCCTGCAGGCATGCCCGCCAGCTCAGTGCGGTGCGTCTGGGCATGCGACACCTTGCTATCATTCATGCTGCGTTTTCATGCTTGCTGCCTGAGCTGCCCCCAAATGTCCTGTCCCTTCAGTACGATGGGTGAAAGAAGCTTGCTGTATCTTGAGCCAAACTCCACTGAGGTCTGTAGATCAAGGTCTGGGTGCTGGTGTATGGAGGTGTCAGTACAGCTCTAGGACTGAGAGCGGTGGGGGCTGAACCCACAGCGTGTATAGGGCTGAGAATCAGCTGGAGCGAGGACGGTCCTCATCTGTGCCCCAACTGCTGAGCCCTTCCGTAACAGGAAATCAATCAGCATCCTCTTCAAACTAGAGGCACTGCAAGTAAGACAGTACATTTATGTTCACTCTTCCTCACTCCTGGGTGAAAAAGAAAAAATCTATGCAGATGAAAACCCAACATTTAGCCAACTGTCCATTAAAGGGGCTATTGCAAGGACTGACCTATATAGAAGTGGGTACCAGTAGATATCCAGCAGGCTGAATTACTGGGATGGGTTATTTTGGATGGGAGGAACTGTGGAAGCACTAAATTATTTTTGTTTCTAAGGCCAATGGCCAATACAATAGCTGAACTCATTTCCCATCCTCTCTGGGCATGGCAAAGCACCATGATTAGCTGTTTTACTATTGTGAGTTTATATGTATTTCTTCTCTGTGATTTTTTTTTTTTTACAGATCTTGTGTCCACCTAAGATCTTATCTATCACCAAAAGAAGTATTAAAAGAAGTATTTATTTCATTTCCCTGTGTGTTTGTGTGTAGTTATAAGCTTTAAAACTATACATCAAAGACTATGAAA